TCCTGGGCCTCATCAGTGCAGTGCTTATGCTAGGATGGAGGTAAAGCTATATATATAGCCACCCCGAATGATGCCACACTTGTGGTGTCATCCAAGGCGTGCCAGAGTGCTCAAACTCGTAGACTAGAGAGCGTATGCAATGCTAGCAGCAATGACTCATCCAAGAAGAGTGCCTAATTTGGACGTGAAAGCAAAGCTTTATTAATTATATGCCAAAGAGCGATATATATTTTTAATATTAATGAGTTTACCATAATTCTTGTTAGTATCATTCCCTCCCTGATATTATTATTATTATTATTATTATTATTACTATTGTTATTGTTATTGATCAATAATTGTGGGTTGACTGATTACTGAACTGCGATCCATAGAGAATGACCGGATGTGCCTGACGTGCAAGCCAGCCATGCATGCAGTTCCGGGATTCCCGGCCCGTGCAAGTTATTATTACTGTTATTGTTTATTTCAATTCTCATTTTGACCCTGAGGTTTTGTGAGACACAAAATAATAGGGATTTTTAAGCAATGATGTTTTTGAGCAATGAATGTAAACTGGAAGTTAGCCTCTTTCTCATTTAATATGCCTTGATGCTACCAAATTTGTATCACTAAGTCTCTTTAGATAGATACGATTTGCCTAAGAATTTAGATAGATCTTTGCCTTTAGGTAGATATGATTAGCCTAAGAATTTGTTCAAAATCATGGCCAATGAGTGCAAAAAGTCCACTTTTGGTGGATGTGTGCCGCTCAAAAGTATCATTGCTTAAACTCCCTAATTTCTAGTACAACATTGCATATTTTTGCCATGTCAATGTTCTACAAATGTAAAGCAGCAGCCACATGCAATAATAGACTTCAATTTTTTAAAGGTAAAAACAGCAAAACATTGGCTGAAAATATTTTACATTTCTTGATGTCTACTGTACCATTCTGTCAGGTGAGATGTTTTAGATGGTGATCATTAAAATGAGTTTTGTTAAAGTCTTTTATTATAAGTGGCATCTTTTCTTGTTTATTTTTTTTTTAAATAAGGGGTCGTTTGATTACGAAGAGTCCACATAATATTGGTCTGCTTAGTACAGGCGTAATGTGGAGTCTCCTTAACCCATTCGCTCCTGGAGATTTTGCCCAAAAACGCGTTTTGAAGCTAGTCGAGTGGTTTTCTGGTCACTGTCGTGCTATAAAGAGCTAAAACTTACCACAAACCGGTTTACAGGTCGTACACTTGGCGGCCTTCTGATACAGATGCAAAATATCAGCTTGCGAAGTTCGGGCATGCGCAGAAAGCAAAATTTCGACATAGTTTTTGGGTTTAAAAGTGACACAGCAGTCTTGACTTTTACTTTTCGCTTTCTCTCCTCCCTTCTTTTTTCGCTTTTCTTGCCTCATTTTTTTTTTCTCTTGCTGGGCATTTAGTAGGCTTCATTTTGGTGGGAAGAGTTTTTAGGAAAGCTTTTAGGATCTTAGGATTAGGTGAAAGGAAAGGTAGGTGGGTAATGGAACAAGATTTTCATGGAGATTTTCAGGTCCTTGTTACGTGGTTTTTTGCTTCTTTCTCCGGTGTCCTTGACTGAATTGTGCTCATTCTGGTATGGTTTGAAAGATCTCTTCATTCTGCACACGTGTGCGAAGAAAGTTGTCCTTGACCGTTAAAACTGATGACGTCACAAAGGGTAGAAAGGACGTGGATCCGCACGGGTGGTTACGGGCGGTTCAGGGGCGAATGGGTTAATACGGGGTGTCTGCATAATGTACTAAATTTGAGGGTCCAATAATACTTGTCAAGATAAAAACTGAATTTGTTGTGCGATACCCACTACTGATACCTATTGATCTCTCACATGTACATTACATACTACATCTCAGTCGGATCAAGGCCAGTTTTACTCTTATAATCACTTATACCTTACTATTCACATCATATAAGGAGTCAGATGTGCAACATATTTTTAGCTAAGTTTATAAGGAAAACCTTAATGAAGTTATAGATGTGTCGAAATCTTGTGAAAAGGCCACCTTGTTGAATTTTAACCGAGGGTTATGTAGTTTTAGTAACAATATTTGCCTTTTGTTATGTTTTATACAAGTATTGCTGCATTTATTGCAGATTGATGACAAACATTTAAGTCAAACAACTTTCCTTGTGCATACCTTGGTAAACTGGCTTCTTGAACACAGGGATATTTTCAATGGTAAATGACCTTTTGACCTTGATGTATTTTTGTAATATAAAACACTGCTTGATTGTTGTTACTGCCCCCTTATCCCTCCGGCAGCCGTCCTCTAACCTTCACTGCAATAGGCAGTTTAAAATGTATTACTTAAATGAAATATTTATTGTTGTCACTTTTTAATTTGATTTTTTAAGCCTTTCTGAACATTGTGCTAGCCTTCTAAAAGCTTTTCATTAGCTTTTGTTAACTGACCTTTGTAGGCAACTAAATTTGAGTATTTAACGGTCACAATCTTTTTCAGATATCCGTCATGTTAAGGCCATGGTGAATAATCTGTTATCTGTGTGTTGTGAAGGTCAGCTTCATGGATATGACATGGGAGTATCTCTTCACTTGTTACAAAGAATTCAACATCATTACCCACAGGTTATAGGGTTTAAGAGTATTCCTTATTAACGCTACTTTTAAACTTTCGTCCACACTTTAGACACATACACCTTAAGATGAAATTTTATCCTCTTTGTTAGGGTGAATCATTTACTAATGAAAGCAAAATATCTGTTCAACATTTCCAGAAACAATTTTAAAAACCTCTTAAAACGCTCTTTGGGTTTATTTATGGTTATGTATCATATATATAACAATCACATCAGCCTAAAAATAATTACAAGTTGTTTAATGCAGTTCTTTAACAGATTCAAATAATTATCTCTTGTGATATGTTGTGCTCTTACAGTGCTGCTGTTTGTTGTTTAGGCCTTTGCACAGATATGTGTCATTCCAGCTCTAAGCTGTCTCCTGTTGACATCTCCCCAGGATTACCAACTCCAAATCCTGCAAGTCTGTAAGCTGATTTTACTGCTTGTTTCTACAATCCCCCTCATACTCTATAACACTTAAAAGTTTAATCGTCGCCAATGTTTTAAACCTCTGATTGTCGTCTTATGGTTCATTTGGGTAAGTTTATGCCACCCTCAGAGAGCCCGTAAAATAATTCATGTTTACGCCAAACGGCAAACCACCTGACCAAGTTTCCCTCTTAATTGTTCCTTATTGTTTATTACTTCTACTAAAAAATGCGTAGTTTCACGCCAGTTTTGTCCATAAGAATATAAGAATTGTTCTGGACAGTTATTCTGGGAAATTCTCCACTTGAATCTGCCATTTGCCGTTTGCCGTAAACGTGACTCTTAATCTCTCTAATAACTCTACACATGATTGGTTGATGCTAATGCCAGGTGTGGGATCGAGTAGAAACTGTAATCAGTCCCGGTTGAGTGGACCACAAAACGTCTATATACATGTCCACTTACATTATATGTTAATAGTAAGTTCGGAATTTAGCATATATATATATATGGCTCGTATTAATGAGCTTTTTTCTGAAACTTGCGCAAAAATTCTATTTTGGGACGTCACATAACTATAAAATGCTTGTTTCATATTTGAAGGTTGTTCCATTTCTCAAAATGCAAGTTGCTTGGCTGGTTCTCCGCCATCCGCAGAAGTCTGCAGTCATCTTCTCCTTCTGCTACCAATACTGCTGATCAGTACCACAACACCACCACACAAACACACTTCATTCAGTGTTTCAGGAAAACAGGAAGACAACAGTAATTCCATCGTCTCCTTAGCTCGTCAAATCCTGCAGAATTTGGAAGTCCATGTTCTTGCTATAAGTAGACAGCTAAAGTATGAAAAAGATCGTCTGGTAAGTTTGAAGTTTTGGTTTAAAGTCTAAATATTTCGTCAGGTCTTTCGGAATTTGGAAGCCCTAATTCTCCCCGTAACCTATGGAACCAGACACACGACTAGTCCGGTACGTTATGAGTTATTCTTGGCCGTGGAAAATCAACTCCAAACTATTGCAAACCTGTTACATGTACAATGTAAAAGGTTTTATCAATCATGATTAATGTATGGTGGTGACCCGCCCGGCGTTAACCCAATACCTTACGAAAGCTTGCATTTTTTATTAGCAATCAATAAAAATAGGAAGAGGTCGACAAGTTATTTAGTTGGTTTTATTTTTACGTAAATGTATGGTCTATGGGCTAAATAAATCACTAGTTTGTCTTGGCTGTGTTTTGTTTGTATTTATTCAGGTTGTACCAACACCTGCTGAGTTTCCCTGCTCATTTCTCAGTCAGTACATGAGTCAAATGTCCGCCTGTTCACACCAACTCATCTTATTACTCAGGTAGAGTGTCTGTAGGACACACGTTATGATTTTCTGTGAGCCTGCAAACCGCCGATATTTTATTCCGTAGTTCTTGCATAACTGTCTTGGTGAACGTCATATTGCAGAAACGAAGAAATCAGGATAAAGTGCTGGTTAGAGAGTTTGCAGAGGTCATTTTCTACTCAAAAACAAGTGCGCCGTCATGTACCACTCATGCTATCAGCTGTGTTAGTGACATCAGCAGGAGAAATTGTTGTGGACACATTAAATACTATTGCTGCTTTGGCGAAGGCTGATCCATCACAGGTAGTTAGAAGCTGATTACTGGTATCCTCTGTCGTCCCTAGTTTAAGCTTATTCTGCCGGTGTTTATTTCTTTTTGCTCACAGCATTTTGTGCCGGCATTTTACATAGTGTTGCCCTCCTAAAAGATGTAGACGGTGAAAAACTTGAATTGAAATGTCTTAAATTGAGCATCAAGCTTTTCTTTGCCTACCAGTTTTTCTGATATAGTTATAACATGCTTTATTTTCGTAGGGCTTGTATTTTTTGCCTCTTTTGCTGTACAAACTCTACAAGGAAAGTAATCCTGAAGTGAAGCGTCATCTTTTGTATTCCATACCCAAGCTAGCTACTCATAAGGTAGGACTGATTCCACTGAGTTAACCACGATAAAACCTCCAGCTTAACTACTGCAATGCACCGTTAGCGATTCGTTCTGGCCATAATCATTTAATAATGATAATGGTGATGATACGAATAATGATGGTGATGACGATGTTGAGACGCTGATTTCTTTTTGTAGTTTTGCATAGGCCCTGTATTACACACAATTCAGAGTATAGGATCACAGTCTGGCTGCCAGCTGAAGCCATTGTCTTTGAGACTGATGTGCAAGTTATGGCAATCTCAGCACCGTGTATTCCCTCAATTTCAGCGAGTTCTAAACGCAAATGACACCCAGCGAGTTGGGATGGAATTAAACCTGGAAATTCAGATTGCGAAGGCAGCTTGTTTACTAGACATCTGCAAAGAAAGGTGAAGTACCCGGTAGAAAATAAATTAGTGTTTTTTCTTTTACTTTTTGTTTTCATGGCCAGTGAGTGCAAATAGCAAGTTCGTCAATTGCTACCCGTTCAGAAAGGTATTGTTTTTTATGACACTGACTTCCTTCCTTTCTTTTATTCTCTGCCTTCCACAAAGTATTCGGTTTGTTAATCATTTGCTCACATCTGACATGTGTACTTAATTTGTCCTTTGATGAAGACCCTCTCAGCATGGTGCTGATCTGTTGAGCCTGCTGTCCAAACTGCTGAATCAAAACACCAAACCCGGTGAGACTGTCAATCATCCCTCTGCTCTTGTAGTATCACTGGCACTGCAAGCATTGGAGCAGCTCTGCAAAGCTGAGGTAATGCTACTGCGTTGAAGAATTATAAGGGATTTAATTCGTACTTAGTTTCTACACTTTTATGTCGGACTAAGTTTTAGCAACACATTGTTTACATGTTTAGATCAAATACGTGATGTACTATTTTGAAAGAAACTGAAATATTGTCATATGTCTTTTGAGAAGTCAAATTAAAATTTAGATTGTGTTTTCAGGATTTTCGGTCAGTGTACGTAGTTTTTATTGGCCAAATTCTTTCCGTATTTTAAGGTGGTGGACCTGTGCACAGCGTGGAAAGTACTTTCTGGTAAGCTGAGTCAAGACAAGCGTCCTGCAGTGTTATGTAGTCTTTGTCAATTATTCAGCAGTGTACCAAGCTTGGCTACTAACTCACAAGATTATCAGGTACCAGTGTACGCACATGAACGTTCGTTTTTACGTTCAGGTAAAAATATGACAACTTGCAAATAAGTACCTGATGTTGTATTTGCTGTATTTTAGGAATTGAAGAATCATATTCTCTCTTTTTTGTGGTCCTTGACGGAACACGAGGTAAGATTAACTGACGTTTTCTACCTTTTTTGAAACAACAATACTTTGGTAGTTTGTCTTTTTTGTCATTCCTTCATTTCTTTTTAAGCGGAAGTAAGTTTAAGCGTGAGGTACAGGCGATTTTTTAACGTAACAATGTATGTCATTCTTAAACTTTTATTTTTAAAAGTTTATGTTGGTCAAGAAAATCGCAATAAAATGTTATCATGTTTCTTTTTTTCTTTATAAAGGAAAAAAATTGCATTAGGTGAACTCAACAAATTTACTTTCTTGCAGTGTATGGGTCTTTCATAGCTCAGTTGGTAGAGTACTGCAGCGCTAACGCAGATTTTCGTTGAAGCTCTGAAATGTTTTTTTTCGGGCTTTTATTGCTATTACAACTTCGATGGTTATATCTTCATGTATACTCATTCACTCACTTTTAGTCACTGAAAGACCATTAAATGCCTGTAACCACTGTAGCTCAAGAAGCTGAACGGTTTATATACTGCAGGCCCCAGTGCAGGTGACTTTTTGAACATCCTTTTAGTGATTACTTTTCATTTTAGCAATCACTTGTGTCTTGTGCTGCGTTTGATGCTCTGTCGCTGTTTGATCCAAGTGGTTTTAAGCTCATTCACCTTCAAAAAGAGGTACTGTTTGATGTTTTGTATTCGAGTGATAGATAAATACACTGTAGACTGTAGATACGTATATGTTATTTAGCATACACTTGCCGTCACCTTCATCAACGTGTAGAGAAACATAAACATTCGGTAGTTGGCAGGCATTTCATCGAGAAACACGTTGTAAAGAGGGTAAACCTTGGTGAGAACCTTAAAATCTTTAAGAACTGCCGAAGGAAACCAGAGTGTCTGATATTCCAGATGTTAATTATCCGAGGTAAAAGACCTACGCGCTAAACACTCAACCAGACTCCATTCGTGCGAAAATCTTTATTTAATTGTTATTTGTCCATTTTCATGCTTTGATTTTACATGCATTTTTCGCACTTTCTTTTTCAATATACATTTCCACGAATCATGTTTATTTCTTTAATATCTTTTGATAATGATGACATGAAGCTATCGAAACGTCAAGTATCTGTTGTATTGTTGATTTGTGTTCTAAAATTTTTCCTCGTGTCCTTAGATATATCATCCACTAAGGGCGAAATTGATGGCCTCAAAGACGCTGGTTCGTGGTACTGGTGATGAGAATGAAGACATGGTTGCTGTAGAGAAATCCATAGATAACTCAATACCGCCAGGTGCAGCGTATGTTACATTGCTTCAAACAATCAACCAACAGGGTCTCTCAGGTACAAAGATGGTTTATTTAGGTTACACTTTGTATACTCCTAAACATGGAAAAAAGGCAGCCCGCGTAAGCCTACACACATAACGCCTACTGGGTGACAATGAAGAGAACTTACGCGTATCAACGGCGGCGTACTAAAAAAAAATGTACATTGCCTGTTTACCCAAGAAGCACATAGGAGTTCATATGAACTCGTTTAAACGTGTCCGTGCGTTCCAGATCGAATTAGAATTTGAAAGTGTTGGTTTTGAGGAGAGGGGAAAGCCGGAGTACCCGGAGAAAAACCTCTCGGAGCAAGGGAGAGAACCAACAACAAACTCAACCCACATATGGTGTCAACGCCGGGAGTTGAAGCCGGGTCACATTGGTGGGAGGCGAGTGCTCTCACCGCTGCGCCACCCTTGCTCCCCTATGTATGCACTATGTATCAACGATTAAGGAATTTTAAAACAATTGAAGGTAGCGACAAATTGAAATAAACTGTTTTCTTTTTACCTGATGCAGGTTTTCAAAAGCTTCTATCCAGTGTTATTAGAAGGGAAGCTGGCTTGCTACCACGCGGCTTCTCCCAGAGTATTTCACGTGCCACGTTATCGCATGACCGGAACTTGCAGTCCATTCCAGGGTTCCTGATGTCTCATTACGAGAAATCCAAGACTCCGGGGCTAACCCAAGGACTAGCCGGTACTAAATATTGATCACGCTTTGCCTGTCAAAAGATGGTGTCTGTGGACCGGTATCTTTATTCTTCTGGCTCTATGAGTGCGTTGTTAATAAATTAGAAGTATTTGTGATAAAGTTAAGGCAAAGCTCAAAATAAATTTAGAGTGTCATTTTCTTTATTTGAACTCGTACTAAGTATTGACCAATGATGTAAAGCAATACCCTCAGTCAGGGGACGTATTAAACGTAAACAAGAAAACTGTTAACCTTCTTTATAGAGGATACCTACTCACTATAAATGCTTCAAAGAAGGGTCCTCTGTTCCAAGAAGGTGGACTATAAGAAGAAGTGGTGATTATGTCTATCTCGATTTTACTGTTCATAGCTGGAGTGTTGTTCAGCTTTGAGCTTCCTTTTGAAGAACACCAAGGAAAGCGACTCAGAAGATATCTGGTTAGTTGTGCTCGAAAATACAGACAGATGCTGGAGTCATTGCTTCATGAGGTACACCGAACTGACACTACAATTACACTCAAACATTCACTGACTAAAGATAGGTACGTTGTTTTTCAGGTACCTGTTCAGCCATCTGAGTGGCACAGGACGCTACTCATTCCACAGGCCTGGTCTTTGTTTATGGTCCGAGCTTATGAAGCTTGTCTTGAGGTATGTGATCTTTACAGCAGCGGGGCAACTGCGCAGATTGTTAAGGTAGTTCAAAATGGTTGTTTGTCGGTCAAAATAAACAAAAGAATAGAAAACTGCCATTGTACAGGTCTCGTTCTCCTGACGTTTCGCCACTGATATAAAAAAGGAAGGTGCAAAAAACTCGTTTTTAATGTTTCTTTATTGTGTGTCTGATTTTTTTGTTTTATTGTAGGGCCGAAAAGCCGAGTTAGACATGCAGTACAGTCATGGCCATATCCAGGACGTTGAAGAACTGAAAACCAGACAAATGAATTCGTGGCTTTGGTAATACAAAATGTGATGATAACCACTAAAACCCAAAAACTTTGCTAAATCAAAGCTCTTCCTTAAGAAATGACCCTACCTAGAATGGTCAAAAGGGAAATTGTCACAGGGAATCAAGAAGTTTTGCGCTATGGATGATGACCTTAAAATGTCTTTGAATGTTATACTACAAATCTGAAGTTTATTAAGACAATTCATGCATCAGTTTTGAAGCAAAAGTATTTTTCCGCTGATATGCTAAAATCATGACCTGATCGCTTCATTACTACGAAGAGATCGATGCCAATCAAATTCATTCATTCTATGGCAAATTTGTGAAGCTTCCCGCTCAAAGGAAGTTTTAAAAGAGGAAAGTTCTAGAAATTTTAATATTCTGCTTGAAAATTTATGCTCGCGAAGTACTGGAAGGAAGGTCGTGCGTTTATAAATGGCTTAAGTTGAAAGTGGTCGACCAAAAGCCGAAAAAAGTGAACAATTAGCTATCCATTAGCCTTTTGGTCATTATTCCGTGCCAAAAATACATATTTTGTAAAAACTGAAAGAACAATTCACCCTCAGTTCTAGAAAATAACTTCACAAAGGTATTTGAAGAAAATCATATGGATTAAGAATAGTAAATGTTTTTTTTTTGTTAAGCGTTTTTTCAAACTGTTGAAATTGTATTTACTTTAGGGTTAGAGACCAGATGACCGAACAACTGAAAACAGCTTCCAGGTAAAGGAAAATCTCAACTTAAGCCTCTAACGAATTTTGATCCATCCATCATATAACGTTTGCCAAGTTTGGCCCATGAAGAAAGTGCCTTCTCAGAGGGCAGAACAAGCAATAGCGGTGATTATCATTTTGAGTTGTTTTGTTTTTAGGGGAAACCCATCTGTACAAGGTAATTCAGTGTTTGCACTAGCGGGCCTAGCACATGCTGTGTCCTTATATGCACAGAAGCAGAACAACTCAGGGAGGAATACGGACTGGCTGACCATGGTGACCGATACAATCATGGTGGTACTTGATGGCAATTACAAACCTAAAGGACCTACTCTTACCTGGTGTCAACAGGTTTTTTTACTTTACTTAGTCTTTGTATTACGTTTAAAGCTGGTTGACTTCTGTTTTGAGTGAAAAGTTCAAGACCTTAGTATTTCCATGTTTTTGACCCTAACACCCTTTTCTTTTCAGGTATCTTCTCCGACCTCTACTGCTAGTTCGCTGTTAGCTCGCTCTTGTGCTGCTCTGTCGTTGTCACTGCTGGTACCGTCGCTTGTCACGCTCGACACTGATAGAATTCATAGTATGGCAGAGCTGTTGAAACAACGGATCCCTGGACAGGCCAAGTAAGTCCGGCCAAGATATATTAATTACTTGGTCTGTTGTTTGCTTTTAGAGCTGCACTATGGAACAATCTAGAGACGTTTTCGATTTCATCAAATATAACTGAAGAAACAAAGCTAAATTCAAGTACTTCTAATGTTCACAATTGTGTAACTGCTTCTGAATCAGTAGCATCATACACCATGAGCCTTGTAGCCAGCCGGTCGTCTTGACCTGTAAAAAACAAACAAACAAACAAACAAAGAATCGTTCAATGATTATGCCGACAATTCTGCATTAGACGGGCGTATGACAGGTTCCAAAGCCAATTGATTTCACGTTTCCAACTGTGTGGTTGCAATTGCATTTTGCCCCTTTGTTTAGAGCTGGAAGTTCTTCTGTGGTCCAGATGACTTGCTCCTTAGGACTGGGTCTTTTCCTGAGCAGACTCTATCAAGAACATTTCAGGTATGGCTGAACACTGGGCTTTACTAAGTCCTATTCTATTCTTGTACTATGTTATGGTTAGAATCCCTCAAAATTGCTTTCATTTTAATTCTGAACCAAAAGATAACAAAGCGCAGTGGGTGGTTATCATAGCATTTATTCGTATATATCTGTTACACGCTTACTTAATATTACAAACGTTAGTAGTATAGAATAGCTGAAATTATCGGTTTTTTGCGGAGAAATCTCATTTCCTTGCAAAGGAATACATTAACGCCGATGACGTCATAGCCTTTTGTCTTTATCTCATGGATAGGAGCTTAAAGGTGATGTTACACGGGACAATTTGCAATTTAAAGTGGTGAATGGCTCTAGGATCAATTAGACCTTTATAGACCTTGCTGTAGCCTTAGATCACGAAACATGCAGCTTTTGAAGACGCAATCTTATAATTTAAAATCGTACGGATCCAGGACATTTCTCATTGTGCCCCTCAGCTTTGGAATGCCCTTCCACCGGAGCTAAGAGTGTACGATTCTGTAGATAATTTTAAGAAAGCCTTGAGGACGTTTCTTTTCTAAAAGGCTTATTGTTGGGTAAAACTAAGACAAACCTCTTTATAACTTATATTAAAGATTGGTCCCAAGTTTTTGAGATTTTGTTTAAGTTTTATTTTATTTTTTATGGCAATTTTCCATTTTTTATTCATGTGAAGTGCTTGTGGACTCTTAACGAATAACCGCTGTGTAGATAAATTGTTATTATTATTATTAATATTATTATTATTATTATTATCCACAACCACGACGCTGAAGTGTACGCTCCCATAGCGTCTCGTTTTTTTATTGGTTGACTAACAACTAAGTAAAGTATTAATTCAGTATTCATGTCGTCAAAGGAATAAGCGCAAACTTGCCTTAAAGCGATGTTACTCGAGACGATTCGCAACGACGATTTTTAGCGCAACACAGCCGTGCAATATTGTTGCCATGTTGTTTCGAATGCTGACAACATCGTTCCCACATTGCAACGTTGTGTTGCGGCGCTAAAAATCGTCGCGTCGAATCGTCCCGTGTAACATCACCTTTACAGAAAGATTCAAAGATTGTTTGCTGGTGTAAATATATTTTAACTATTGCTTTTTTTTGTCACGCCTTTCTTTCAGTGATCTGTGTGGCAAAGAGGTGAGCATGCTGAATATCTTATTAAGAATTTATCTTCTAAACCAGCCCACCAACAACCTTACATCCGGTGGCAAGATTGAGTCGACACTGTCGTCAAATAGATGTATTTCGGGGAAAAAACAATCACGACCACTCCTCCATTCAAATGTTTCCTCCGAGTAGCTTAAACCGTAGCACAACATTGTTTAGAGGGGGCGGGAAGGCAAAGCTTTCTGTTTCCCTTTTGATGTAGATAGAGTCGGTAAAAAGTGGGAGATGCTTGCAAAGGTTCTCAACTAATTGTGTCACCGATTGTAATCTTAGCGCAACCTATACTTGGTGGTAAAGACCTGAGAACCTACCCTTCATATATAATTGAGTAAAGTGAAAAGTGGTACATGTTGTGTCATATTTTTGCAGGGTTATTTGTTGATGACTACAGCTTTAGATGCATTGGAGAATGCTGCCCTAGAAAAGAAGGCAGAAAATACGTACGGAATTTATTCTTACTCACTGTTTATAACATGTCACTCAGGAATTAAACTTACCTGTAAAACAACTAACGAACCTTTTAAGGTGATGCTACACGAGACGATTCGCAGCGACTATTTTAGCGCAACACAGCGTGGCAATATTGTTGCGACATTGTTTCGAATGGTTACAACATTGTTCCACCATTACAACGCTGTGTCGCGCTAAAAGTCGTTGTTGCGAATCGTCCCATGTAGCATCACGTTTACTCATTCAAGATGTAGGATTTTGTGTGATTCAGGCGGTTAGTTGTAGAACCCTCAGCCTGATTAATCAATGATGTTTTCATAACAACTTACACTCTGTATTGTTTTCCCAGTGAGGGCGCTTGTTTGGGACTTGGACTAGCTTTGTCTTTCATTTGTATGGAAAGTGTGGTTGATTCCAGAGTTCATATGACCAACATGTATAACAAGTTGATTACCATGCTGGATGATGAACATATTGAAGATCAGAGACTCCAGGTAAGAAAGCTTCTCTGCTGCTGTCGCCACTTTTCGTGAGTTACTTATAGAAATCATTAATGGGAATACTAGAAAGTATTACAGAAAACTTTTTGTTTTTCCTACTTTGAAGTAGGACACAATTTTTCTCGGGTTTTGTGCATGGTACAACACTGCAGCACTTGATCACGCTAAGGCTACGCATGCGCTTAATTCTTTTCATCCTCTGAGCTCCAAACTGCCTCTGGTGTTTTAAGTAAGAGGTAGTTATACTCCACGATATTCACGGGCAGCAATTTTGTATTGCAGTACCATAGACCTCACAATGCTCACTTTCGAATGGTTTTTGATGATTTCTTGCAGAGCTTATGCTTCAGCGTGGCGCTTGTCTGTGTAAATGCTTTTCACACTGGTCTTTTGTCTGTTGATGAAGCTAAAAATTGCGCTGATAAAATTCAAAAGATTGCAGACAGGCACTGTCAGGTAAGTTGAATATAACGAGTGAGTGTGTGACCAGTATTTAAGTACACTTGCCATTTTCTTACCCAGCACACCTTGTAACATGTTGCTTTACCAAGAATAGTTGGTCACCATTTGCTTACCTCAGTTTCTTTACCGGCTGTCAGCAGGCCGCTTATGGAGTCTCCTTGTCGTATGGCATGCTTCTTCATGGACTCGTGTCATGTGGTCATGGTGGAGTTGTTCAGTTAGCTAAAGATCAAGGTGAAGTCTGGCGAAGTATTCTTGAAAGAGAGGTAGGAATGTGGAGAATAAATGTAACAAAAAATAATTTTAGAATAATGATAATGATAACTGCAGTTGGATTGGCCCCTGTACTGTGGAATAGAAACAAATTTTCTCATCAATGAAAAAACAAAAACAAAAACAAAACAAAACAACAAAAAGCCTAGTGGTTGCGTAACATCAGTTAATGTTAGCAACATAGGTGACGCGGAAAAACCCGAATTCTTTTTCTACCTGTGTGAACTGATCTGTTATCTTATGGTTACTAGTTCAGATGATCTATTGTTGGGGAACAAGGGACTCACAGCAGCCCGCTAAGGCCACCATTAAACATCCTGCACACTGTTAGGATTGGAATAATTATGGATACATGACATAATCTCGATAATATTAGCAAGGTGGTGAATCAGCCTTGTAATGACCCTTGTAAGTGTAAGGGATTGACGAGGAAAATAAATACTCACAGTACGCCGGCTTGCCATTTACGTTGTGCTTGCAGGATACTTCGGAGCTTCAACGGCTTGCTGCTCTGAATGGAGTCATGGGACTTCTGGGTTCAGACCAAAGTCTGTTTATCGTAAGTAAACTTACAAGCACAGATTTATTCTTGAAAAAGTAATAGCTGGCCTGCCAAAAAACTTCCTTTGGTATATTTTTCTGCCTAAAAGACTCTTGTTTTCTTCACGTGTGTAATGATCAAACGCAATAAATCCAGCAATGCGGGCCTCCATATCAGGACTTAAATCTTATTCTTTACCTTCTTCAATCAGTTTAGCTTGGTTCACGAATGTACGTTTCATTGCCCGAAATAAATTGCGCAGACCATGGTTTGGCATTTACCGGGAACAAAGAAATTGTCTAGTCAACTTTGACCAAGGTCGTCCACTTCGTCCGTGATCGTTTATGTTCATTACAAGCAGACTAAGTTTTATTCTTAGTTTGTTGTTGTCTTTTTTAGTTTGATTCCTCCGATGCGGTGGGCATTTTTCCCTCTAGTGAAAGAAACATTATAAAATATCTGCAACAGGTAGGGTGCTTCCTAGTTATTTTACTTGTTACAGTTTGCCTTTAAGTATTGCAACTGATAGTATATATTTTTTTGTGATTACAGATTATTTCACGTCCAGAAGATGTTGGTCTTTGTTCCAACTTGTCGTGGCTGCTCGGCCAACTTTACGCAGCTTCTACGAGTGGCAGCATGGTAAACACGAAAAGAGGTAAGACTTTAATACTGAGTACTCCGCTCCTTGAATACGTCAGTAAGCATATTAAAGCAGCCGGAGGCAGTGTCTTATTGATAAAAACTGCCTCTTTAAGTTTTTGTCCTATTTAAAGGCAGAGTTCGCTAATCCAGATGCGTATGTGGTTATACTGGCGTCCGAAACGTGTCCGAGGTGGTAACAAGGCTTAACACGGCTATTTGTGAATACTTTGTATTTAGTGCAGTATGAGACTTAAACGACGGAAATTCGACAGAGCAACAAAGCAAGAAATGAGGACATTTGGGTGCGTTTCTCTATTTACTCCAGATGTGTAGATGCCTTCCGTCACTTGCAAATTTTCATCGTTTCTGTGTGAACGAAGGCCGGGAAATTCTTTGACGGAAGATTGAAAATTTAGTTTAATTTTTGTTCAGTTCCATCAGACTATGGCTACCTTCCAGAAGACAGTACATTAAGGCCGCTGTTTGATTTTCTTGTTCAAGCTGGAAAGAAAGGTGGGTATAATTTATAATCCGCTATAACTAATTTATCGTTATGAAGATTCTTCTGTGAAAGGTTTGAACCCAGGAGTCATTTCAAAAGTAGGTTGAGTTTGATCGTCCGGGTGAACGTAGTCCTGAATAGGACTATTGTTGTTGACAGTGACTGACGTTTCGACAACCTGTGCGGTAGTCATCTTCAGAGTCAAAGTGAGTTGTATCACGTCAGTTGATGGTATTATACTCTGGTTATTGATTTGATTGGTCAATTACGTCGTGATGTTATTGGTCGTCTGTCAGTTTAGCCGTGATGTTATTGGCTATGAAGACTCGTAATCAGTAATTGGTGCGTTTTGATCCGTCTATTGTCACAGTTAAACAGTCGTCTATTGTTAGTCTGTTATGCCACAAACAGGTATGTTTCAAAACTTGTTAATGGCGACGGTGTTCATCTGGAAGTATGGTTATTTTTTTTTTTTCGTGGTTTGGGAGTGGCGGGGCGGGGCGGGGGGGCTGGGGAGGCGGTGATTGTATTAAACTGAACGATGACCATTTAAGTTATTTTTGTGAACAATTTCAGGTCCTCATGTGAGCTTTTCTGGAAAGCTGGTGCTCGCGGTACTGGAATCGCTTATCAGCAGTGCTGAAGTGACGTTACCTCCAGTAAACTGGGCAGCGGTGCTAAGTCCTATATTGAGAGCAAATTTTGGTAAGCTGCTTTATGTATCCGTCTAACTCTGTAGAAATTGTCTAGCTTTCTTCATGAAGCAGCGTGAGAACTTAATTTACTTTCATCAATGATCTTTCCCCACCTGGTTTTAGGTGAGGAGACAAGCCAGTTGTGTATTCAGTTTGCCGTGGATCAAGCCAGGACCGCTACCTCCTCCTGCGGTCTGTCATCTTTCTTGTCTTCCTTGTTAAGCCCCGAAGTATTCATGGGATTGGGGGTAAGGGACCAGCGCTTAATAATACAAACGCTGTGCTTAGTATAAACTAAACGAGTGTCCGCAGCGTTGATATCAACCATTTTAACTTTTCATGTAATATACGAAACACAAAGACCGTTTTATAACCAGTCACCAAAAATGACTTAACGAAAAAACAAACAAACCAACGAAGCGCAGCCTAAATTAAGGATCGAATTTTTAGACCTGTCGCACAGTATTGGTTTCCTTTGTTTTTAACAATAATGTAATAATAGTATTTACCAAATAAATAATAAGAGATAACCTTTCTTCTTCTTGTTCAATATTATTCAGGATTCGTGCAGAAGAACGTTACTGAAGAACCTTTCACGATTAGTTTATGTCGTTTCATCGTCAAAGTTGAGAAGGTTTTATGAAGAAGTGCTCACAGTGCCTTTGAAGAATGAAGCGGTAAGATGTGTATGTACTGTGGTGTAAATTGAAAGAGGTAATTTTCATGGAAATTATGGTTTGTTCTAGAAGGAAATCTTTCGTTTACTTCTAAGGCCATGGAACTAGGTTCATATATGGTCATGTCGAAAACGTTCGAAGTTGACAAATAGATAAATATTTGTAACACTGTAGAAGACACACTACTTTAAAAATAGAAATTACTGTTAAGAATTGAACCCGATAAATTAAACCGTGAGTTGGAGTGGGATTGTTTACTCAACATTTTGATGAAGCTAGCAATAGTTCTCACTACATCTGCCCCCGCCTTAGATATGACGGTTATTTTGAAATAGGTCTTTAAATATTCAATACGTAATCTCTATATTTCTATGCTCTTAGGTTATAACATTTTAAAACTTCGCGAAAAACGTTATTGTGATTTGTGTTAAGCACTGAACATAGTGATTAGGGCTAAGCACTGACTCGAAATGGTTAGCTTTCATTTACTGTTAGGTTTGTCACTATAAATACAGTCGAACCGCGACTAACTGTCACCTCTCTGCAACGGCCAATTTTATTTTGTCCCGGCGGACAGTCCATACATTTACTCTAATTTAAACCTCTCTACAACGGCAACGGCCACCAGTGCATGTCCCCAACTGCCAAAACAACCTCTATACAACGGCAACTGCCACCACTGCATGTCCCCAACTGCCAAAACAACCTCTATACAACGGCAACTGCCACCACTGCATGTCCCCAACTACCAAAACAACCTCTATACAACGGCAACTGCCACCACTGCATGTCCCCAACTGCCAAAACAACCTCTATACAACGGCAACTGCCACCACTGCATGTCCCCAACTGCCAAAACAACCTCTCTACAACGGCAACGGCCACCACTGCATGTCCCCAACTGCCAAAACAACCTCTATACAACGGCAACGGCCACTACTGCATGTCCCCAACTGCCAAAACAACCTCTCTACAACGGCAACGGCCACCACTGCATGTCCCCAACTACCAAAACAACCTCTATACAACGGCAACTGCCACCACTGCATGTCCCCAACTGCCAAAACAACCTCTATACAACGGCAACGGCCACCACTGCATGTCCCCAACTACCAAAATAACCTCTCTACAACGGCAACGGCCACCACTGCATGTCCCCAACTACCAAAATAACCTCTCTACAACGGCAACGGCCACCACTGCATGTCCCCAACTGCCAAAATAACCTCTCTACAACGGCAACTGCCACCACTGCATGTCCCCAACTGCCAAAATAACCTCTCTACAACGGCAACGGCCACCACTGCATGTCCCCAACTGCCAAAATAACCTCTCTACAACGGCAACGGCCACCACTGCATGTCCCCAACTGCCAAAACAACCTCTATACAACGGCAACTGCCACCACTGCATGTCCCCAACTGCCAAAATAACCTCTCTACAACGGCAACTGCCACCACTGCATGTCCCCAACTGCCAAAATAACCTCTATACAACGGCAACGGCCACCACTGCATGTCCCCAACTGCCAAAATAACCTCTCTACAACGGCAACGGCCACCACTGCATGTCCCCAACTGCCAAAATAACCTCTATACAACGGCAACGGCCACCACTGCATGTCCCCAACTGCCAAAACAACCTCTATACAACGGCAACTACCACCACTGCATGTCCCCAACTGCCAAAATAACCTCTCTACAACGGCAACTGCCACCACTGCATGTCCCCAACTGCCAAAATAACCTCTATACAACGGCAACGGCCACCACTGCATGTCCCCAACTGCCAAAATAACCTCTCTACAACGGCAACGGCCACCACTGCATGTCCCCAACTGCCAAAATAACCTCTCTACAACGGCAACGGCCACCACTGCATGTCCCCAACTACCAAAACAACCTCTCTACAACGGCAACGGCCACCACTGCATGTCCCCAACTACCAAAATAACCTCTCTACAACGGCAACGGCCACCACTGCATGTCCCCAACTACCAAAACAACCTCTCTACAACGGCAACGGCCACCACTGCATGTCCCCAACTACCAAAATAACCTCTCTACAACGGCAACGGCCACCACTGCATGTCCCCAACTACCAAAATAACCTCTCTACAACGGCAACGGCCACCACTGCATGTCCCCAACTACCAAAATAACCTCTCTACAACGGCAACGGCCACCACTGCATGTCCCCAACTGCCAAAATAACCTCTCTACAACGGCAACGGCCACCACTGCATGTCCCCAACTACCAAAATAACCTCTCTACAACGGCAACGGCCACCACTGCATGTCCCCAACTACCAAAATAACCTCTCTACAACGGCAACGGCCACCACTGCATGTCCCCAACTACCAAAATAACCTCTCTACAACGGCAACGGCCACCACTGCATGTCTCCAACTACCAAAATAACCTCTCTACAACGGCAACGGCCACCACTGCATGTCCCCAACTGCCAAAATAACCTCTCTACAACGGCAACGGCCACCACTGCATGTCCCCAACTGCCAAAATAACCTCTATACAACGGCAACGGCCACCACTGCATGTCTCCAACTACCAAAATAACCTCTCTACAACGGCAACGGCCACCACTGCATGTCCCCAACTGCCAAAATAACCTCTCTACAACGGCAACGGCCACCACTGCATGTCCCCAACTGCCAAAATAACCTCTCTACAACGGCAACTGCCACCACTGCATGTCTCCAACTGCCAAAATAACCTCTCCACAACGGCAACGGCCACCACTGCATGTCCCCAACTACCAAAACAACCTCTCTACAACGGCAACGGCCACCACTGCATGTCTCCAACTGCCAAAATAACCTCTCCACAACGGCCAGTCTTTTTCAGGAACTGATGAGAAAGTCAAGGATGGTCACGAATTGGCACGATTATGATCAATCGCGGCAGTCGTATTTTGATTTTGCTTCATTTATACTCATGCAGTGAGAAAAAATTGTCAACGATACTTAAATCGAGAAGATTTCGCACATTATCATTACGACGAAAACAACGACACTTCTCTAAGCGGGGGAATTTAGGGCCGGTGCCTCCTCGGGTTCCGGCCTTTGCGGGGGCAAAAAATTTAAATATTAAAAACAAGTTTCCATTTTGAAGGGTCATGCTGTAAACACGGTCGCCATACTGGAAGCTCATCTGTCAGTGCTTAAGTTACTGGATCCACCTCAATCAGTGATTGGCTGGACCATAACAGCTTTGCGGCACATTTACAACGCCTGCAGCTGCACACAGGATATCACAGTAAGTTTATACCACTCTTACATAACTATTTTTTGACCTAAGTGTAACAAGAAAAATAGCGACAACTTGTAATTGAACTTTCGATTTAGTACTGTCTGACATCATTTGGCGGCTAACAGCCCACTGTCCGGCGACCTCTGACATCATAGATTTGCATGGTTACCGGCACAGAGACCTTTCATTGCAAGATACCACGTGACCATACAGTAGAAACCTAAAGTGCACTCTTTTGGGGAATAATTCTAAGAAATATCAGTTATTAGTTAAAGGAGCTCTCTTGCCTACCATGCGTACTTATTTACTTCACAAAAATGAAATATCGTCGCACCTCCAATTTGAATTATTTGTTTAGTTCTTTTATAGCGTAAAGCAAAATATTAACAGTGTATTCTTCTTCGAAGACGTCCGTTTTAGGTGATGTAGTAATCAGGAAATATCGACCAAAGAAATTAAAATGGCAACACCGTTTAACAGTGATTCGATCTGTCTGCTTCAATTTCTTTTCAGGATCATGCTTGTTTAACGTTACTTGCTCGCTGCTTAACGTTGGTACCTGTTAAGGACGTTGAAAACATTGTTGACGATACCCAGGTTAGTAAAAACTGAAGTGTACTTTAGAAAAAGAATGTCTCTGACAAAGAATGGTGTTGAACTTGTCTGACTGAAACAGTGGTATGACCCCATGGTAACTTCATTAGTTTTTTTTCCTCGTTTCTTTCTCTTCTGCGTATTAAAAATCAGTTCCTTTTGTTGTTGTTTTTTAGACCATTACCACGAAAGCGTTAGTTATTCGATGTAACGCGATTGCTAATGGAAAAGCGCCGATGAAATGGCTTATGCCTTGTATTGAGTCAGGGATACTAACAGCTGATATCAGTGGTAATTAAACTGTTGATATCTGTTTGATTTGTCATTTTTAAAGTGATACCAAATGATTGTTATGTAAATTTGTTATATAAATGCTAAATCTATCTATTCTAAAGCAGTTGAGAAAAAGTTGCCTATCACTGCCGGGACAATCCTATTAGTAACTACGAATCTGAATGTTAAGTTAGCTAAGCACAGAAATTCAGTCCCAGATTGTCAAAATATAAAACAGGTCTCGCAACTATAAACTCTCTAACTGGTAAGCCTTTTACAACGAGGGAAGGTGTAAAACAAATGAAAGATGTCAAGGAATGTGTAAACAATCCGCCATGTTTGGTCAAACTTGTGCTTCGAAACATTTGCCTGGTTACTTAGCACAGACGAACGCAACGCGAGCTGATGTGGTTTGCTTTGATTGAAAGATGATTTATGTGATCATTTTATGCGTCATGCGATGAAGACACGAGGAAAGATTGATAGCAGCGAAAAACCCAAACAACAAATGTACTTTTTCCCAGAGAAGGTCACTTTTTTTTTCGAAATTGCTAAGTTTCACAGTAGTTAAAAGTCTTGTAACGAATCGCTAGCCGAGTGTTTTAGATTTATCTTTCGTTCTTGGTTATGCTGATTCTACGAGTTTAAAGTTGAGGTTCTCGGCTTATAGTCGAATAAATACGGTACCACTAGTGGACGTAACAGTACTATTCTCTGTAAGCTATAAGGACCCTTATAAAAATGTCTCGGCTTTTAGCACTCCGAAGCTCCGGTGAAATAATCTAAGAGTTAGGTGAAATAAAGGCCATATAAGTCTAGCTGTCAACGCGGACAGGTTGGACACGTTACAAGAGTGATGTATAATTGCTTCTTTCTTCCTCCTTCTCCTCCCTTCTTTTTCACATGGCAGCATTGCGTTGCCTTTGAATGACTTAATTGTAGACTTAAAATAACAGAGATCAAAAGTTAAAAACCTTTTTTTGTTTTGCAGGAGAAAAGCGCAAAGAATTCTTATGTTACGTCAGTAGTGTTTTAATTGCCGCTGATCACATCTTTAAACATGACGACAAGTTGCTCTTGTTTTTGGAACTGATTAGTCTGTTTAAAATTGCACTCCAGGATGGTTCAAAAACCTCCGCGCACAGGGTAATGGTTAAATTGTCGTTCTTAACTTCGTGATGTTTCTCTTAATGTCTTTTCCAAGTTTCATCAATGTTTACCCCATTCTGGTTTATCTGCGTGCATAATTTATAAATAGGCTAAGACAAAAATCCTTTAAGAACGTCCCGTATCCTGAACTGGGAAAACAAACAATCCAAAATGAAAAAAGTTCTACTCACTTCTAGTATTTTTCTTACAGGTGTTGTTGAATTGTTTCACCGTTTTGTCCATGGTATCAGCTGCTTGGTGTACCGTTCCCATACTTCAAGCACTTGCACCCTTCCCTTCAAATCAGCCTACAGGGAGCCAAATAGCCGCATGTTGTGAATCACTGGAGAGGTTGCCATGGTTACTGCCCCTAACATTGTCAACTTTGTTGCGTGATGAGCCCTGGGCACCAGTCGCGGGAAAGGTAAAATAAACGAATGCTACGTTTTTTGCGTTGAATTATTATGTTTAGATTGTTCGTGTGCTTTTGATTTGTTTGGTTGTTTTTGCTGAATTTGTTGGTGTATTTTTTGTGCCTTGCTTGTCATCAATATCCTCGACCCTTTTTAAAGCGATTAAATGGAATTTCATTAAATAGTTTCGTTTATCGTTTGTCTCACGATTGTCACATAGATATCGATGGCGACATTTGACCGCGTACTGCAGGTCTTCATCAGGCGATAGTGTCAATATCTAAGCGACAATCGTGAGACAAACAATGAACGAAACCCTTTATACACATTATCCACGATGAACAATATCTTTCATGACATGGAGTTCTATTGTCAAATGCGATTTCTTAAATAATTTAGGTGCTGGACTGGCTTGTATCATTACTAGATGACCCCACGATTCCAACACATCTCCGAGAGAGCGCACTTGTAGAAGGTGATTTGATTGAATTGAGATATTTTGATTGAATGATAAAATGACTGCCGTGAACTGACTTGCTGATTCTTGTGGTATTTTCTAATGTAATTAACTCGCCTCAACTCGAAGGTCGATCGATAAAATCAGCTCACCATTACGTTCATTTCCTGATTGCTTCATTGGTTGTTTGATCACTGAACTGGTTCACTGGAGGTCAAAGGGGCTGAGTATGTAATGAGGATATTCGCTGTTTTAAGCCAATTCTTTGCTCAAGTCATTACTTAGTGCCTTGACCCAGTGTAGAGTTATGGAGAAAATATCAAGTAATTTAGTCAGGGATCACCAACGATAATAATTGGTTTTGTGAGTTTTGCTGGCATAGCATTAAAACTTGAAAAAGTTGGGCCAACTTTTGTTAAAGTTTTAATCAATGTCCATCCTTTCCATCCGTAGCAACAGACCGCGACAGGAAACAGTTTTAATGCCTAAATATCGTCTTAAATAACAAAAATGAATGATTAGCTTTGGTGTGAAAAATACACGTTTTAGCCTTTAACAAGATAGCAAAATGCGTGGCACAGCTCCTTAGCTCATTTGATTATTACGTTTCGTTTCAGATACAATCATATCTATGAGGGGAACAGAGACGTTTAAGAAAACAACTGTGTGGACAGATGTAGTCGGCCGTTTCCATTCCAAATTTATCCATCAAAACGGTGAACAAAAAGACAAATAAAACCACGTTAAGTCACCAAAGCAATGACGCCTTATTTTTGTGGGAGGAAAGCTGTAGACTTTATTCAAAACATTTATACCTGCAGTTTTCGCCTTACTGTAAAACCTGAATAATTATTAAACGCCCTGGCGTTGTTTACTTATACTGAAAAAGAATAATATTCCTTAATCTTTTGACTCTTTCCTGACATTGACGCAAAGTTCAAGAACAGAAGAATAAATGATTTCTTTTCATATTGGTTTTTGTTTCTCTAGTTGTTGTAGACTCTGAATGTTACTTTTCGTCAGTCTTAAGTACCTGCAATTTCGAAGCTTCTGAAATTCCTCACTTGTGAATTTCACAGGAGGGGGACTTGGCCAGGGGTATCTAGGTGCTTCATCGTCCATTTCATGGTAAACGTTCAGAAGTTGCCTTAGTTTCATGAGCATTGAGTGAATACCGCTGTCCTGGTCATGAGTTCGATCGAAGGCGGCAGCAATGTGAGAAGTAGAACCCGGTGTTACAAAAAACTGCAAATTAAATTGAGATATGCGGTATTCCTAGGCTAATCTGGATAATGTAAGTCCCTGTTTCTCATTGTTTTTAAAGCTCGACACTACCATAGTGAACTTGAGTGTATGGGAATATATGTACATGCTTAGCTTCAGTGGGGCAACAAGAGGAAATGCGCAGGAGAGTGTAGAGGTATTTCTTGTTCTAAATGTGGGAACAAAAGCAACTGTACAGTAACATACAAGGTTCCTTATTCTTAAACTGAAACATGGTCTAGTCAGAAATGTGAAAGCTAAGACCACTGTAAAAAAAAAAAGAAAAACCAGTCTGTTATATAAGGGCAAAGTGTTGGCATAGTATCAAAAATCCAAGTAAATAAGGAAGGTGGAAAAAAACTACCACTTACTTCCTGGTGGATACCATGACGATCAATTCCAGTGACGCGATAGGCACTTGGGTGATATAGAGGATGTGTAGCATGGTGATAAGTAGCTCGGTGTTTGTCATGTTTGCTGGCTTCATACGGAAGGAAGTGATGGTGGTTAATAATATTATCAGGATGTAGTAAACCGCTGAAGGCAGGAGCTGGATCTTCAGATCCTGAAGAATTATCGGTTGAATTTCGGCGTGACTTGGACAAAGGTAAATGAGTGGCATGAGGATGTTCCCCAGGGTAATGTCCCTTTTTATGAGCTCTATCCTCTCCATGATGAAATATTCTGTGTAATCTGTTATAAAGGTCGTGCAATTCTTCGTCTTGACGACCCCTATTATGTCGAGATCCATAGTGACCCTTGAGGGGCCGCATGTAATGTGGTTCGTCGTGCTCCCCCACACTATTGCCTCTACTTCGGTCCTCAGTTAAACTGCTCTTTCGACTTCGCCCCTCATCAAGGCTATTTTTCCTATTTTTGCTCTCGCTAAAGGACGTATGCCTACTGCGCATTCCTTGTTCATGTTCGTGGTGTTCATTTAACGCTCCAGTTTTCTCAAAGATGTGTGGCGGTCCATTAGCACCTATACCTGGTATATAGCCTGTGTACGCACTGAAGCCTAATGTCTTCGAAGGGGTTTTATTGGGTTCAACTTTCTTATTGTCTTCCTCCAAGCTAGACGCTCTACTTCTTCCCATGTGTTTCTGATGGGCTGAATGGTGTAAGTTTCCATGCTTTGTTTTATGGTAAGGGAGAAGATTGTCAATCTCCAAGCTCCTTCTTCGTTCTCTTTTGGCGGCACATTTTGTCAATTCTTCATCGTCTGTGTCACTTTTCCTTCTTTTCTTCGAAGCTTCGATATCTTGATGCTCGTTTTCGCGTCGAGGATGCTTAGTAGGATCCACATGACACGTACAAGTGTTTTTATTGTCTCTCCCTTGAGCATATCGCGGCAAGTTACAAATAACGCATGACATGAATGCTTGTGTTCTATGAATTACTGCACCAACCTCTCGCTGTTTGTTTTGCTGCACTACTGGAGGAAAAGCAGTTTGTTTTCCATCGTTTCCTTGGGACTCTACAGGCGAAAGAGAAATGATAACACTCACATCAGAAGCATCTGTAACAACTTTTACTTGACAAGGAGTTTTTGTTGAAGAGCTCTGATCGCGGATGTCTGATCTAACTTTTACTTGAACTTTTGTGTCATGACTGCTTTCAGTTGGTCTTCGTAGTAGTCGATGCTCGGCGTCGTGTTTCTTGGCGTGAGCGCTAGGGTGCCTGTCATGATGACGTTTTAAATGTCCTGCCGTCTGTTCCTGATCTGGTTGATAATCAAATTGATCTTGTTTAGTTTGCTGTAGCCTTTTCAACGTACTAATCAATTCTTTCTCCTCTTTTCTGTAAACGTGTGACTGCACGTCCTTACACGCTTCAAGCGTGCGAAGCTCTTTATCTAAGTTAAGCTTTCTAGCCTTGTTTGTGACTCGCAGGCCGTAGAAGTTTCCCTCAGAAATGTGACGAACTTGTCTCAGCATTGTATTTTTTACACGATTATCCCATTTTTTATTCCTTGAAGTGTAACACGAGAGGAATTCCCATTATGACGTTACTAGTAGATTTAATTATGCTCTTCCGCGCGCGCGATTGTCATTTTGTGTTAAGGCGGTAAAAAAGCTTGTTGCAAACACTGCACAAGCTGCTTTCACGATGACATATCTTTTCGAGTGTTTGTATTAATATGCATCTAATGATGGATTCGTTATGAATATACGATGTGGTCAAATTCTGAGACGGGGAAAGGAAAATAGAAGACCTAACAAGCGGGCTCGACGATCATCATGTATAGTTATTTGAATCATCGTTATGTACAAGAATTCAATAAAACGCAAACGAACGCGACATTCTTAACTTTGACTTCTCACTCCAGAGCGGAAATAATTTCATTTGTGGCAAATGCAAGCCAGATCGGAACTGATTCCAGTTCCAGCTTCTCCTTTCAATCTAATAACGTCATTATGACCTCACTTTCATTGTTGAAAGTAAACAATGTCTTAGCCCACGTCTTCAATTTTTTATCCAGTGAGTGTGACGTTCTTGTTAAAGTGTTTTTCCGATCTATTTTAGATGAAAGATTAACGAAATATGGGTTCAGCTAATGAACAAAAAAAATAAGGTGTCATTCCGTCAATCAAAGTACACGCTGATGAAGTAAGAGAGTAAACCCTGGGAAAGAGGTTGATGAGCATATCATTGAATTTGGTGGCCTACCTATCTAAGCAGTTTTAAAGCTGTTTTAGTAAGCGGCTCTCTCTAGAGTTCCCGGCAGGACGCCCTAAAACACCAGTCTGAATAGGTTTAGAGTTAAGGCCAAAGCTTCCATCACTGACCAATCAAGGTCAGGCTGTGTGCATGTACGGCCTAAATGTGACTTTTCTCCGGGTTTTCTTTAAGGATCGAATGAGGATTAAAGTAATCTTTAAAAAGACTTCACCATTCAAAGTTAATCATCTTTTCAGCTGCCTTGTTGTCGTCGTCATTTCATTTATCACTTTCTTTAGACTGCTACTTACGGGCGACACAAGTTTACTGGCTTCCGAACAGAGAAAAAAGTTATTAGCATAGTAAGCTAGGTATTCAACAACAAAACTGATTTTTCAGTGTTTATAAATAATATATGACCTCATCGAAAACTTGGCGTGTAAAAGAAGTTACGTTTCCACCTTAGCAAACGAGTATAATTTTTACATGTTTGGGGAAATTGGCTCAAGTTGTAAAATAAAATGTAGAAAAATTGAACTCCTTCTCTGTGATTAGGCAAGGCTGCAGTTGTAACAATCTTAAGGCTCCTTTGTAACTGAAGAGTCGAGAAAAAAAAGCAATTTATGCAAATACTCCACTACAGACACTTGAGATCGTTTCTATTGTGAAAATCATTCAACAGATCAAGGTAAAATCTCCGCGCTTTGTCCAGGTTGGCAAGCACCATATGAATAACCGGAGCCAAGGAGGTAGGAATAATTTCTCTTTAGAATATTCAAAATTTAAAGATAAATATATTTTTTCAACTGCTGGTGAGTGAAAAGGCGAAACAATTTTTACTTCAGGTTTTCCCAGCAAACTGTCTTATTCTCTGTTACGCTTTTTAGTCATTTTTCGCCTAAACCTGGGAGGCAAAAAAGTAATAAATAAAAGAAAGAAAATCGAAAGATCGAACTCTTTCAACCTTTCAGTTTATTGGTTGCTTTATAGCGCACTTAAGCGGCGTCTTTTGCTGTGGTTCACTATATGTTTAGGTAATACCGTAACATCAAAGCGTTAAAACTCAAAATTAAGCTTTGTTTACTCCTCCTTTTTATCACTGATAGAAAATGTTCGTCGGTTAATATGGGAGCATATTTTCTCTTCACATATTTTCTGGAATACATCTTTTAAAATCCGAATACGCCCTTTCTCATTTGCTTTCTTCTGGTTTCTAGAAGCACAATATAATTCAATTTCCCTCATTTTCATGAGGACGCTCCTGCTTACCACCCAATATTGAAAGAAACACAAGTAAAAATGAAAGAGAAAAAAAAGGAGATCGCACAATGAAAGGTTTTGATTTCTGATCATGCACGATACAGTATTGCGGGCCTATATGAACACTTCCGCAGTCTCGAAGATATTTGAGTAGTAAACGAAAACGATAAAAAGAATTCTAAGTAAACTCTGTTTGCACAGCAGAGTAAAATAGCAATAGTATTCAGTATTAGGAGAACCGACTGTGGTTTAAGAATTAAGAAAAGAATTTTCCTGTGGTCTAAAAGGTGTCATTTTAATAGATGCTTTCTTCCCATCGTTGTCTTGGTTGATAGTTTGTTAAACAAGGGTCTCCTTTTCGTTAATTTACGCCAACCAAGGGTTCTTTTTCTTTTTAATGGAGTATATAAGTACCGAGTTTATTACAGTATCAATACACGGCGCACACAGAAGGCACGGACTAGATACGTCAATCGAAGTGGGAAATCTTTTAAGGTAAGTACTCGCTCGAAGACACACATCTAGAAATGCGGAACCTAAAAAAGTCAAGAGGTTAATATGTGCTTTTGTAAAGTCGAAGTAATTTTTTTACTGCCTTTACTGAGACAAAAAAAGGGAAAGCACTCCACTAATGCTGAATTAGAATAGCGAGGAAGTTCAACTGGCCGCAACGACTTAGTTTCTTATCATGCCTCTGTTTCTTACTCAT